TTCCTTCCCCAAATTCCCACTTCGCTGTTTCTTTTTTCCATACTCTCTCATTCTCTCTGAGTTCTTTTTTAGTTCATCTCCGGCTTCATCTCCTTTCTTGATTCGAACCATTTCAGAACTGCAGAGTGATTCTAAATTATTGTCGGGGTTCCCGCCTATAATCCACGGAAACCCCGACAATATTTTAGAATTATTCTGTGTTACGCGTGTTACATATCGAGGAAGTCATTACGAGCTTACAAGGCAACGGTAAAGCTTCCTTTGTAGTTAATTAAGGAGTAAGGATACAGCAGCATTATTCTTCATGCTACGCTAATTGGAGGCGAATGAACAGCTTCACGCCCAGGCTGCTTTAACCCTGGAGAAACACTCCCCGGTTGCCATTGGATAGGAGGCCGGGTAGGCCCTAGAGCCGGTCTGAACTTTCTGAAGAAAATAAAAATTTTTCTGGGTATAGAACCCCGGCCGTTCTGCCTATAGCCCACAGCTAAAGCCACTGACCTGAAAATATTTTGATAAGGTTCGCAGTTTCCTAAGGACATTTAACTCAGTATTGAGCCAAAGACGAGATATATGGTACTGAATGCGAATGGGTACGGATTTGAAAGGAGTGGCTTACTTGAACTTAATTTCCTGACACTTGCAGAGGGAGAACTCCCTCTTCTCAGCAGGTAGCAACTGTTTTAGGCACATCCTAAAAATATCAGCAAAAGTTGATTCACGTATATTCTTCAGATTTTACTCTTTGTTTGATTAATTGAAGGCGCCGAATAATTTTTGGAAAGTTAAAAAATTGTTCAGATGCTTAAGCAACCCCATTCTCTGTCTGGAATCCAAAGGATGACCATTTAGACATGGCCCTGGCCGACACCCTGAGTAATATTTCGCAGTGAGGGGCTAGTGGTTCCTTTCCTACCGTCTGCATCCCGTTTCGCCCTCGACAACTGGTGGACTCGCCGATGCGGTGGCGATAGATATACTTAATATGCCTTTATTACTTCTTTGTCAGGGGGTACGCGGTAGCGTAGTTGGTTGAGACACTATGCTACAAACCGGAAGGTCGCGGATTCGAGTCCAGATGAGGTGGATTTTTTCAATTGGCCTAATTCTTGCAGCCGCACTATGGCCCTGGGTTCTACTCAGCCTATAACAGAAATGAGTACTAGGAAACTTCCTGGGGGGTAAAGGGCGGCCGGCACATAAGGCTAACAAACTTACTGCCACCTGTGAGCCGACTGTCTAAACAAAATGTGGGAGCCTCAACGTCTCACAACCCTATGGGGCTTTACGGCCTGTTACAGGGATAGTTTTACTGAGAAAATTATATAACACTTCTAAATTTTTAGCGGGTATTAAAAGAAAGTTGAAGTGGTTGGGGCATGTCATTAGAATGAACCAGATAAAGCGGCTAAGACAATATTTTAGCGTAAAACAGTGGGAGGAACAAAAGTGGCAAAGCCTGAATTGAGATAGAGGAAAAATATTTTTATGTAGTATGAAAGAACTCTCTTATTGTCGAGACCGTATGATATAGGAACATGGGCTAATGTATGAATTATGATGACGAACTTAGAGGATTCGGAAGGAGCCAGTAGTAGCCTAACCGAATTACGATCCATGAATTCCCTTGGAGAGACTGAGCAAAACCAAGGAATTTCTCAGTCAGGATAGGTGGTGTTTCGGTCGCCATTCGAATGGCCGCCTCAAGGGTACAAAGCTAGAACTATACCTCTGTGCCAACTTGTTCGGTGGGGGGAAGATGTAGAGAATGATTTACGATATCTGAAAATGAAGAGATATGATCATATGTTGTAAATGAGACCAAGGTTCTTAGAGGCCCGTAGAAGTAATAGGTAGTTAGTTAGTTAGTTAGTTAGTTATTGGAGAGGGCGGGTTTCCCCATGCACTTAGACCAGTATTGGTCCATTGTTCTTCCCTCTATGATATTATACCAGTCTCTATATCCTACCGATATTGGTGCGTAACATCAGTCCCGACCGAGCCAGCGAGTTCGGCCTCTACTGGCTTGGCGGTATCTATAATGCTTCCCCCATCTATCAGAGGCGTTAGAGACTACTGTTGGGCGGCAAATGTCCTGAATTTGGCTCAGTGACCTCCTTTGGAGATATGAGGTTCTTTTACGTGCCGTAAAGCTACGACACGGGACCCACGGCTTAAAGTCCCTCCCGGAGGACTTGTTCCCTGAATTTTTCCGCCCTTAAAAATTCCACGACCTCCGCCGGGTTTGAACCCGCGTACCACGAGTCATGAGGTGGGAACGTTACCTCTAGACTACGGAGGCCGCTAAGTAATAGGTAAGTAGGCAGTGTTAAATATATATATATATATATAAGCCTACAATACAAGATACAAATACTTTATACCTCGGAACGTCTAAGAAATGAACACATTTAGGTAAAAGTAAAGCTGTCCTTGTAATTAACTAATTAAGCATTACGGCATGAAGGCGTATGGGGAGTGGATGTATAGACCCACGTCTTCTTGACCTCGGCACTAGTTGGAGGTGAGTGGTCAGCTTCACGCCGCGGCCGCTTTACCATCGGGGAAAGAGCCCCCGGTACCCATTTGTGGACCCCAGAGCCGGTCTGGACAACGTAGATAAGAAAAATTTCTTGTCCCTACCGGGACTCGAACTCCGACTCCTCGGGTGTCCAGCCCATATTGAATCAAAATTTATTATACTATGGTAATAGCTGTAAAGATTGGTTGCATAGTTCTGTTGGAAAGAATAGTTCTTTCGCCTGTAGCTGTGTATGTCCTGCGGACGCAAACCAAACTCAGGACCCAGTTCTCTGCAGTTTCATCCATCACTGACAGATCTACTTCTTAAGCTTTTAATGTAAAAACATCACAGAGTCTGTTAATGACTTGTATCAATAAGACCCATGTTCGAGGGTGCGTGTTCTGAATCACTTTGCTTCATTTAAATTAAGCCACAGATTTTGTGTGTGTGGGGGGGGGGTCCTGTGGGGACGAAGAAGGGGGTAACCGTAATGTAAACTTGCAGTAGCTCTTAGTAGTGTCTTGATGTATACGGGCCTTACAGGAAAAAATGGTCCTCATATTTAGAACACATAAATATTTGTGGTTTATGTGAAAATATTTAAATATAAGACGTGAAATCGTGTATTACATAAATTATTACGGTCTTGTAGAATGTGATGCAGTGAAATTTTGGCAGATGGTTACGAAACGTTTCGGAGGAATCTGCTGCCTCCATCTTCAGGAATGAAGATGGAGGCTGCAGGTTCTTGCAAAATGTTACTACCCATCTACCGAACTACATACCATAATATCACATAAAACTGTAACATGACACGCCCTTGAGAATCCAATATCCAACATTCATTACTTAATAAGGTGAGTCTTTTCTATCTGTGGCTCTACAGCCCTTTGTCTGTTTGTTATCATATACACGGTCAGTAGGACTCTTTGAACGGGGGATTAGTCCGTCGCGAGGCAGCTACCTACGCACAGAACAACACAAACAGAGAATAAACGCACATACAGACATCCATGCCTTGAGTGAGATTCGAGCTCACGATCCCAATGTTCGAGCGAGCGAAGACGGTTCATACCTTAGACCGCGCGGCCAATGTGATCGACAAGGTTAGCCCTGGCTTTATAAAATATTGGCAACAACTGCCTCGTAAATAAATTTTAAAAATTGGTATATTCATTACACAGTAAGTTTATATTTCATATACAAGAATTGTATACATGTATATAAATTCTTAGGTTGCCTATTTACATGTTCAGCCGTTGCTCATTTATCTTCATAAAATTAAATTGCATTTATTCTACATATATAAACATGGACGCTCCTATTTATTTTATTCTTGTATATTTCTCCAGGGTAAGAAGGGCCTTTTCATTATATGAGGCTTACATCAGAGCAATAACGTTAATTTGAAACGAGTCATTTTTTTAGGCAAACCATCCATTCTGTCAGATTATGTTTACTATCTGGGTACAGTTGATACTTACATGTCAACCAACACAAGGCTCATGGGAATTTCAGGTGAACATTTTTAAAAATTACCTTTTTTAAGAACATTTTACAACTCCTCCGTGGCATGTAGTCCGCAAGCGAACTATACTGACCGAGCGAACGCCGTTTGTCGGCGAAGTTAGTGCCAACTTTAGCGGATAGAGGGTATCGCGTGGTCAGCGCAACGAATCCCCAAGGCCGTTAATTTCGGTATTCTAGACCGGAGCTGCTATTTCCTTGAAATAGCTCCTCAGTTATCCTCACGAGGCTGACTGGGCCCCGTTCCAGACCCATTACTTCTCAGAAAACTGGTAGCGCCGGGAATCGAACCCGGGACCTCTGGCCCCCACTTGAAAAGTTGTGAAATACAGCTATATGTATAACAAGATGCGAATGACATTTAGAAGACCCTATCAGCAACAAATGTAGGTTATGATAATTCTTTCTTTGTTCTTATTTCTTATAATAACTAAAAATATAAATTAACTTTTCGTGGTTTTAGAGAAGTAAAAGTCTCAGTAAAATCAACTGATTCTATTTCTGTTTTGTGGTGGCCCCTGGACGACCTCCTCAGTCGCTCCCCCTTAAATCCCTCCGTGATGCTACCCCAGGTGACGAAAAATAATTATTCTACCTCCCCCTTCAATTGAAAGCAGCTCAAATTTCTCAAAACTTCATCGGAGAAAGATTAAATTCCCACAGTCCTACGAAAACTTCCATCGCGATATTGCAATTCTTAAAACCAGGAAACAAAGAATGTAAAGTTGTCCCTTTGCTTAATTAATCAAGTGCTACGCCACGAAAATATATGGGGGGGGGGATAGCTCCACGAACTCTTGCCCTCTGCACTATATGGAAGTGACTGGTCAGTTTCACGTCCCGGCCCACCCTTAGGAAAGAGTCCCTTGTACTCACTGGATATAAGGCTGGGTGGGCCCTGGGGTCTGTCTGGACGCTGCAGGGAAGAGAAAAATCCCTTAGCCAGGACATGAAGGCACCAGATTTTGAACCAAGGCCACAGCAAATGGATGGAAAGGGGGGGGGACGTGGCAAGAACAAATTCGAAATGAAGGCGACGGCATATCTATTGCGCCAGTTGCATCTCTCCGACATTGATCGGAACTGTCTTGTTGACGCCGACAGGCGCCGTCCTGTCACACCAGTAGCCTCCTCTCTTCTGGCTTAAGATTACAGGATTAGACGACAAGAGTAAGCTTGCAGTTTGCTCTTCTGTTTACATTGTTGTGTAAAGTTTATGAATGTGCAAGTTAATGGTCACAGTATGAAGGAGGAAGCATCAGAAATTCATTTTCTTTTAAGAAAATGCAAAAGAAAAGGTGGTTGTAAAATTTTCCATCCCTGAAATCGAGCCTCTCAAGGCGGCCGGTTGGTTTACCCGCGCTGTCACGCCGGCCCCGTTCCTTGCGATGGGTTTACATTCCAATTTACGCTATAGGTTCCAATTTCAGCAAACGAACTCTATTTACCTTTACTTTTTCACTCTCTGTTCTCGAATTTCACCGTTTGCGCCGTAACCCCACGCAATAAAAGCACAGAAGCAAACCGGAAGTACGCAGTGGAACGTTCAGTTGGAAACGGTCATTTCATTTAATTTTGCCAGGCTTCAACAAAAGGAGCTTATCAAATTCGTACGGTCTCATTGAATGATTGGCCGGTTCTTTGGCTGATTAGTTGGTTGACTAAATGGCTATCTGGTTCTTTTCCTGACTGAATTTATTTCTGGTTGCCTATTGCCTTGTTGACTGATCGGTCATATGGCTGTTAGCTTGTATATTGGTTGACTGGCTACCAAGCTCTTTGACTGGTTGTCTGATTTTTCTTCTGTGTGGCTAGTTGTTTGGTTTGTGACTGTTTGCCTGGTTGGCAGTCTTGTTGGCTATTCTTTAGTTGATTAGCTATCCTACCGATTGCTTGATTGACTGATTATCTGTTTGGCTAGCTATTGTTTTGCTGATTTATTAGCTACTTGGTTATTTAGCTATCTGGTTATACGTGTATGTCTGCATGACTGAAAGGTTTTTTGACTGGCTATTGCCTGAATGACTATCTGATTGAATGCATCTTGTTAAACTATTATCTCACGGAATGTCTGAATAACTGATTGACTGTGTCTGACTGTTTGCTAGTTGACTGCCTGGCTGACTGGTTAACAGATTAACCAAACAACTGAAGATAATTGGCTGACAAATTGACTATCAAAGCAACTAAAATAAGTGAATGACATGAAAGTACTAGAAGCTAACAACCATGCGATTAAACGACATACGAGTCTAAGAAGTAAGGAAGCACGTAACAAAGTTCGTAGTTGTTTCACGTAATATAGAACGAGAAAAGTAGCATCGAAACTATTAGCAAACCGACAATGTAAGAGTAAGAGTAAGTGTTAGATTAATGATACAGTGTAACACCATGGATAAGCAAACAGTTTCATGATCAACCTTTCCTGATCAGCGCACAGTACGCAGCTGATTAAGAAATGATCTCTAGCTAACCGTGAAATTATATTCCATATTGAAGATGTGGCACCATGCAGATATTTTGGTAACCGCCTGCTCACGCTGGTTCACCGCTCGCGGATTTCTTATACCCTGAAGATGGAGGCGATACGTTCATCCGAAACGTCGGTTAATAAAATGTTAACCGCCGTAAAAATCTCAAATGTTATGTATTCCAGATTGTCCATTTTCTTGATGTTTCTTATCGAGAGCTGACTCTGTTCCACACTTCGGGCGACCGATTTTCATGATAATGATAGAAATAATTAATTTCCTTTATTTTCGAATTTGTGACATAATTACCACAAAATAAGCCACGACATTTTCCTCTTACTCGCCATTCATGGTTTTTATCATTCATCGCTGGGAATTTAATGTATATGAAATTTGTGGGTGGTCATAACCGTCAGATAAAGAGTAAATTAACCTACCATCAAACCCACAAATTCAAAATGGAACAGAATGAAAGTATATAAATCGTTTCATTAATTTCATGTAACGAATTTTCCCCGTATATTACAGCAGTCACTTGCTTGCTGGACCGTGGTTGATTGAAAATGTAATAAACTGAATGATCAATTCACAATTCGCATTTCCAAAATTTGTGTTAAATATTGACTGTGCGTGACTGTGATACATTACATATGTCGCAATAAGATCATTTACACTGCATGTTGACTGTCGCATTTAACGTTCTGAGCAGTGTCGATTTTATTATACAGACCGAAATAATAATTGTGTGTGACCAGAAATATTATATGTTGACCTGATATTAAAATAGTTATTAACCCTAAATAGGCATCTGCCTCCTGTTAACCATTCACAACGAATCTTTTTTTTTTTTGGGAAGATAACACCTTGTTTTATAATATTGTCTTGTGCGAGTAATATATTTTTATGGTTATTTATAAATTCAGTCCAGAATGTTTAATTTATCTCTTTCCTATCCGAGGCACGCGGTAGCGTAGTCGGTTGAGGCACTATGGGACAAGTCGGAATGTCGCGGTTCGAGTCCCGATGATGTGCATTTTTTCAATTTACCTAATCCTTCCAGCCGCACTATGGCCCTGGGGTCGACTCAGCCTCTAACAGAAATGAGTACCAGGAAACTTCCTGGGTGGTAAAGGGCCGCCGGCGCGTAAGGCTGACAACCTTTACGCCATCTGTGAGCCGATTGTCTACAGAACATATGGAATCCTCTACGTCTTACAACCCTATTGGCCTCGACGGCCTGTTAGAGGGATAGCTTTACTTTACCTTTATCTCTTTCCTGTCTGAGGAGGTCGTTTATCCAAAGAATCCGTCCAGGTCCGAGGTCCGTTGTAATATTTCGTAACAAGCTTATTTTTTAGGATGAGGAGTTGTTAGCCCCACGCCCAACCACCAAGCTGGAGGACCACCCCTTGTCAGCTCTCTGTGACTGCTTATTCAATATATTCGCATCTACCCTCCATATCTGGAGGCCGTCTCCTCCATCCTCAACCTGAGGACGCGCCATGCCGTGGTCACCAGGAACCCGCCTAGGTAAAGGTTAAAATACAGAATTATGTTACGATTTGTTTTTGTATCGGAGTGAAACTTGGCTACTCACCTTTACAACAGGACGAAGACTGTGTCTCTGAGAAAAATACGACGCTGAGGAGAATAGCGGGACCTAAAGAGTTGAAATGATTGAGGGACGGCAAATTACACAATTAAGAACTTATTAATTTATATACCTACACGTTATCAAACATTTACGGACATTTAGCATGTTTGGAGCGATGTGAGAAATATGTACACAATTTCGGCGTGGAAATCTGGAAGGAAGACGAATTGGGAAACTCAGTCATTATAGTGACTGGACAACTGAGGCACTGTGGATTCATTCTCAGCGAAAACAGTGATAGCTTTCGAACAAGCTCTGGGATTCACTCATCTTTATCCCCGGGGGTAAATCGGCCGGGCCGTGAGTCTAACCGCTCACCTCCATCCAGTGATGGAATCTGAATGTACGGAACTACAGCCCTTTCCCCGTACGTTTTCTTGGCTTGATGTCTAATGAAGCACAGAGAAAACATATCTATAATTATTTTGCATGAAAGGAAGAGACAATTTGGGAGATCTAGATGCAAATGGAAGAAAAATGTTGAAAATGATCGTCAGTAAATAGGATCAACCTCCTTACCTGAGTTTAATTGTTCCTGTGTGTCTTTTTCTTTGTGTTTATGTTTGGTTCAGTAAATTAACACCGCTAACATATAACAGATGTTAAGACATTTTAGTAGTTAGAAAATACACACAAATACGTTTTTATTATTATATTTATATTATTATAGAAGTATGGACTTGGAAGATAATATCAATAATTTTAGCAAGGAAAATTGGTAAGAAATAATATACTTTAATAGAAATATGTCAAATTAGTATTGAATCAAATAGCAGAAAAACCGGCCCTGCTGTTGGGACCTCACATGTGAATCCTTAAGAACAAGAAGAGGCCGGCCACAAGACAGGAGACCTTCCTGAGGCCAATTGCTAGACACGGGACAATTGTAAGAGATGGTATGCAGCTTGCTGTAGCTAACACAGTACAATGCACTTTGTAGCACAGACAGCTGCGCACAGCCCACGTAGAAAGGGCTCAGGATAACAGGCCGGTAAGAAAGTGGCTGGATCAGCAGGATCAGCAGGATCAGCAGGATCAACAGGATCAGCAGTGAGACACAAAACGGTCCCTGGCGGCCTAAACCTTGGCAATACAAAAGGAAAGACCTTTCCCCAGAAACTGGTGTGTTCTATTCAGTTAGAGTTCACCTCTTACCCCCGATTTCTTTGGACATTCCTAATGGCGTACACTAGCTAGCGAACTAACTAACTAACTAACTCACTCACTCACTCACTCACTCACTAACTCCATGGAGATGGGCCCTTCTTGAGAAGCCATCAGTTGCTCAGGAACTCAAGAATTTCCCAGCATATTATGGAACCCCAAGGTTCATTAACGTGTTCACAAGAGCCCTCCACTAGTCCTTATCATGAGCCAGATCAATCCAATCCAAACCATCCCATCATATTTCTCTTAAGATCCATTTTAGCATTGTCCACCCACCTACGTCTTGGTCCTCCCAGTGTTCTCTTTCCTTCTGGCTTACCCACCAATATCCTATATGCATTCCTCTTCTCCCCCGTTCGTGCTACATGCCCTGCCAACTTCACCCTCTTGGACTTGATCATTCCAGTTATACTTGGAGAAGATTACAAGTTATGAAGCTACTACAAAAAGTGTTGTAATATACCTATCCATGGAATGCGGCTCATGGTTTGATAAGCATAGCAATTTACTGTTTATCTCATGACCCATTTCTTTTTTATTCTTTCCTCGTAACTATCTTTCCTTCCACTGGTCCCTCTCCTGAGCCAGATCAATCCAGTCAATACCAACTCATCCTAGTTCTCTGAGTTCTTCCCACCTACGTCAACGTCTTCCTAGTGGTCTCTTTCCTTCTAGATTTCCAACCACAATCTTATATGCACTTCTCTTCGTCCCCATTCGTGCTCCATGACCTTCCCATCTCATCCTCCTTTACTTAATCATTCTGATTTTATTTAGCGAAGAGTACGAAATTATGCAGTTTTCTCCAGTCTTCTATTGTTTTATTCTTCTTACGTCCAAATATTCTCCTCAGTACCCTGTTCTCTAACGTCCTCAGTGTATGTTCCCCGCTTAATATTAGAGACATGGCCTATGCGACCTCATGCTTTCGTGTCTACACCTCCAATATAAAATGCATATATATATATAGTTTGGGAACTGAAACCTGCTGATTGGTATCGATCGAACACGCACTCCTTTTAAAAGATTATTTCGTTTTAAGTAGCGTGAAAGGTTTTAGTATTTCATAAGTGTCTGCAGGTTCGCATCACGACAATAAATTGTGCTCGGCTCCATATCAGGCTCCCATTTAGTATCCAAGGAGACCTAAGTCTCTGGTAAAGAGCGAACTTCTTTTATAACTGGTCTGAGGCTTTCGCGTCTTGAAGCTGTTCTGACGAGGCAAGATGGAGCATGTGTTTCATTAGAGGGCGCCTGGGTACTGCACATGGATTCGTTTTCAATCTGATGAAGATTGCAGCAGGTGAACTTCCACGTTGCGGATCGAGGCAAGTTTCTCTGACAAGCAGTCGCATCACGGAAATGAGAGCTCTTTAACTCGCTAGTTTATGGGTTCTTTTTCGACAGGTTTTATCGTTTTTTAAAAGTTATTTCATCTCGAAATGATAAGGAAGAAACAAGATAAATTCCAGAGTGTGTACCTGGCATCAGTACCTCAGATTCTAACCTGTTACCTCCCGAATATGAAGCGGAATAGCTCAGTCAATATAGTGACTGGGCCACGGGCTTTACGGTCAAGGAATTGGTTGGATTCCCGACAAGCGAAACGTATTCTGTTCTTTCTCCCAGCGCACAGATCAGCTGTGGAGCCCACTCAGACTCCCATGTCTTTCCCCGGTGGTAAGGCGGACGCGGCGTGGCTCTAACNAATCATTCTGATTTTATTTAGCGAAGAGTACGAAATTATGCAGTTTTCTCCAGTCTTCTATTGTTTTATTCTTCTTACGTCCAAATATTCTCCTCAGTACCCTGTTCTCTAACGTCCTCAGTGTATGTTCCCCGCTTAATATTAGAGACATGGCCTATGCGACCTCATGCTTTCGTGTCTACACCTCCAATATAAAATGCATATATATATATAGTTTGGGAACTGAAACCTGCTGATTGGTATCGATCGAACACGCACTCCTATTAAAAGATTATTTTGTTTTAAGTAGCGTGAAAGGTTTTAGTATTTCATAACCGTCTGCAGGTTCAGATCATGACAATAAATTGTGCTCGGCTCCATATCAGGCTCCCATTTAGTGTCCAAGGAGACCTAAGTCTCTGCTAAAGAGAGAACTTCTTTTGTAGCTGGTCTGAGACTTGCGCGTCTTGAAGCTGTTCTGACGAGGCAAGATGGAGCATATGTTTCATTAGGGGGCGCCTGGGTATCGCGCATGGATTCGTTTTCAATCTGATGAAGATTGCAGCAGGTGAACTGCCAGGTGGCGGATCGAGGCAAGTTTCTCTGACAAGCAGTCGCATCACGGAAATGAGAGCTCTTTAACTCGCTAGTTATGGGTTCTTTTTCGACAGGTTTTATCGTTTTTTAAAAGTTATTTCATCTCGAAATGATAAGGAAGAAACAAGATAAATTCCAGAGTGTGTACCTGGCATCAGTACCTCAGATTCTAACCTGTTACCTCCCGAATATGAAGCGGAATAGCTCAGTCAATATAGTGACTGGGCCACGGGCTTTACGGTCAAGGAATTGGTTGGATTCCCGACAAGCGAAACGTATTCTGTTCTTTCTCCCAGCGCACAGATCAGCTGTGGAGCCCACTCAGACTCCCATGTCTTTCCCCGGTGGTAAGGCGGACGCGGCGTGGCTCTAACCAATCCCATCTCTGGTGCCCAGGTAAAGGATTCCCGTAACCCGCCGCTGTACCGACTGAAGTATCCCGGCTCCAATGGAGGATAAAAACAGTAGAAATGAAAATGATAACTACAAAATAAATTTATAGGAAGAAGTATGTAAGGTAACCTGAAGACGGATGCGTAAGACCTATGAGACTACTAAGCTGTATTCTTCATGTTCGTCGCCATGCGTACTTCAAATGTCACAAGAATAAAAGACTTCACCTATGATTGACTAATTCAGCACTACGCCATGATGGCGTATGGGTAGTGGATGTATAGATTAATATTTTCTTGACCTCGGCACTAGTTGAGTGGTCAGCTTCACGCCACGCCCGCCTTACCTCCGGGAAAAGAGCCCTCGGTACCCATTGGTTATGAGGTTGGGTGAACCCAAGGGTCGGGTCTGGACGGCGTGGAGAAGAGAAAATTCTTGACTTTACCGGGACTCGAACTCCGACCCCTCGGTCATCCAGCCAGTAGTCAGTCGCTATAATGACTACGCTATCCCGTCACCTCTTCACCTTTGATTCAAGCACAAACATTTTCAAAGTTAATTTTTTGGTATTCCGTTTAGGCCGGTCTTCATTCCTTACAAACACCGATCCGTTGTCCTAAGATGGAGCTACCTTCCTATTTTACAGAGTACTTTTAGAATCGCGCATTAAATTAATAGATACATTCATTATAGAGTGGGGAACATAATTGTCACACACCCAGTGTGACCCAATCCGAATCCCGTTGCAGAGATGCATATGTTACGTATGGCTTAAAGCAGTGGTGAATCGATTCCCTTACGAATACGAACTTGTGCACTGTAAATGGTAATTAGCACCGAACCTCAATTTTCAAAGGGAATTCGTTCCTTGCAAGTTAATGCATGATTGATGGGGGAGGTTGGGTATCGAGGGAGATCCCTGTCAAAGTTGTGCAGTGCGTTAAGAGGCTGGATCGCCCTCAGTGCATCTCGTAGAGATGAAAATGTAGTGAACCCAGTTTACAAGAGACTGAACTAATAAAGCGATTGTTAATTAATGAAATCCCAAACGCGACGAGACGTCAGGAGGGCTGTGAGCGGAGAACCGGGGCAACTTATGTACTTTAATGGAATAAGATGGACTATATTGTGGTCTTGCGGTTTATAATGCAGATGTGTAAGGGGTGCGCGGGTTCCAACGTTGCAGCAAAGCACTGTCTCCGTACTGGAGGCTAAAATTATGTCACTGTTAGTACTCACATACCAGACTACACGGTGTCATAGCTTAGAAACTCGCAACATGACTCTCAGATATTAAATTGCAGCATCCTTTTGCATTGCGTAGATCTGATTTTGCTTTCCTCTTTTTTTTTGTCCCGTCTATGTGTAACAGCTCGCGGTAGTGTAGTTGGTTGAGGCACTGTGCTTCAAGCCGGAAGGTCGGATGATCGAAACCCGATGATGTCATTGGATTTTTTCAATTGACATCCTTCCAGCCGCACTATGGCCCTGGGGGTCGACCCAGCCTCTAACAGAAATGAGTACCAGGAATATTCTTTGGGGTAAAGGGCGGCCGGCGCGTAAGGCTGACAACCTTACCGCCATCTGAGAACCGATTTTCTAGAAAATGTGGGAACCTCAACATCTCACAACCCTATGCGGCTCCACCGTCTGGTACAGGGATAGCTTTATTTTTTTATGTGTAACAGCCTTACAGTGAACAGCAGTGACCTTCCTCACAACATCCTGTTGTGTTAGTTTTATCACATGATTATGCGCGAAATTCAGTCTACAGATGAAACTTTGCAGGTTCCTGGTCTTATCGCCACTTAATCCATACATTTATGTACATTCAACGACATGTTTCGGCCACGCATGGCTGTCATGAGGTATATATATCTAGTTATTTGTGAGCATACACACCGGCCAGTAGAACACATGTAATCAAGAGACCACGTGCGAAGTACTCATCGCCTCGAAAAATAGAGCACAAGGCAGAAGAACGCCAACCCACACTCGCACCGCATTATTTTAAATGTTAAATTACTTTAATAAGAATCAACTTGGTTTTTGAAATAAATTTTCATACCTACACCCCTCAGGAGCCAAGATAACACAGTTGGTGGTATAGCGTTTGGCCACAGCTGGACGATCTAAGGGTCAGAGTTCGAGTCCCTGTAGGGTCAATAATTTTCTTTTCTACACGTCGTCCAGACCGGCTCTGGGGCCCAATGGATACCACGGGCTTTTCCCCTGGGGGGTAAAGGCGCCGGGGCGTGAAGCTGACATCTCACCTCCAGCTAGTGCCGAAGTCGAGAAAATGTGGATCGATACATCCACTCCCCAATACGCCTTCACGGTATAGTGCTTAATTAGTTAAGCACAGGAACAACTTCGCCTTCATACATTTAGGATACAATCAGTCGTTTGTATCTCTCATTATGTACTGTGCTTTCGCATCTGATTGAAGTACTGACCCGAGCGCTGTTTAAAGTCCTGTAGTTCGCGTGTTTTGCACGCCTGTGTTTTTTACTTGGACTCAGGAAATAAGCCCGTATAGAGCTGGTACTCTGAAGGCTTCACGATTACAGAGTAGCATTTATCGGCGATACCGGTACTCTTAAGGGTAACAAAGCAGTCTGGCAGAGATACCGTAGTTTCTGATTCGTACCTTTCACAATTCCGTTGAAAACTGTTATCCGTGGGCATTTTTGTATTTTTGAACCGGCTAAGAATAAGCCTATAAGTGTAAATATGATCATTGTACTTTTATATCTGTAAAATTAAACCTCAAATAAACACCATGAGTTTATGGTTACAGAGTGAACAAATAGACCTCTGCACGCATAGGTTGTACGTAGAACTTCTTCTGCCGATAGATGGGTCTGGCAACAGGAGGTTTCCTCTCGTCAGCTGTCGTCATTTTTAATGAAATGCATTGAAGATTTTCTTGGAACCCGTATTTACGTTTTTTTCAATAAATATTATAGTCCGATGGTGAGTTCACGAACTGGAGTCCGTAATATAATAAACAATATTAACAATTTAAGTCGTAAGTACTCCATATTTTCTTTGAAGGTCCAGATATTTTTTCTAACTGCTTCAGTCCGTGCAAGATACAAATCTTTGACATAAGTTTTATTAACCTATTTTCTTATTTTCTAGAAATACACTTAAAGAGGTTTAACTATAAAATTCATTTCCTATAAATATTCTTCAATCCTTCAAGGACTGAATTCCTTCTAAATAATATATAGAAGTTCAGTTCGTACCTCACAGGAACCATTTTACCTTGCCGATATAAAGACCAACCAGGTAATGCGGTTTAAGCAATTGTTATTTATTGTGAGAACCATACAAAATACGCGTAATAACACTATTGGCAGAGTGCAGAGTTTTAAAATGTTAAAGCAGGGGGGACATATAATTACTACTAGGATTTAAAGAGTTAATTAACGAAGTTAGGTAACAAATGAGTGATGTGGTGTGAAGTCTTATTTGTGCACTTACATTTTTCTCAATTGCTCATGGAATTCACTGGCCAGTCTTGCAGAAATACAAGCTAAATTGACTGGTCACCTAACAAAATTATTCACATTTAAGATCTTTATAATCTTCATGCAAACTGATTTTTAATTTTATATCCTTCAGTACGTCCGTTGACACTACAAAAATATCACTTTAGATGTTGGAATTTTGGCAGGATCTTTTATCTTTTAACCAAAGCATATAAGAGGCAATTGCTTTATAAAATCTTAACACCTTTCTTTAGCTTGTTTATTGTGTGGCATTTCTTGCTATCGAAGTATTTCATAGATTACATCAAAGTTGTATGAAATATATTTTCTAATGTATTTAAACTTGAAATATGGAACTTTTTAATACTTGAACGTAGCAGAATTAAAATTAATTGAGTTATAAAGTTAAATACGATCTGATTCACGCGCAGTGTTGTAATTTGGAATCCTGTAAGTTGAGAGGCTCTTGTGCCTGAAAATGTAAATACTGTGCTTGAAAACTGGGACGCTAAATCACACTTCATTCTGCATACGCCTAGTTCTTCTGGCTCTTTCAACCTGAAGCCGTCCACCCGCTGTTATTTTTATAGCAGTGGCTAACGTGCGCAACCTTTCCCTTCGCCCTGTCGGACCCTCCCCATTTTGCAAGTGGAGATGCATTTGCTAGACCGTAATGCAAACACAGCGCGCGTAATTAGCAAAGCTAAACTAAAATTTATACTACAGTACATGAGGGCCGACTGGAATTATGCGGCCATTCCTGAGCTATGCGCACCAGTTTCATTCTGACAGAGGTGGGGGGGGGGAGACAGCTTCGTATAAAGTAGCGAACACACAGGACTTGGAGTCTGGGGATGATTAAGTTTAAATTATGCGAAATAATTATAATTTTAAATGAATTTTTTAGGTTCTGTATTTTGGGAATTAAAATGGCATATTGGATTTGTGGCCCTTACTGACGCTATCATAAATATTCTAAAATGTTGTACCGTATATTCTGATAAAAGTTTACCAGTTTTTCTGAAGAACGTGTTGCCTCCATTTTCAGGGCAAGAAACAAGCATCAAAAACAGTTCCCGATTACTCGCTCGACCTTTTTTTGTTATTGCTAGTGGGTGGGACTAAGTCCCTTGTACTGCGGCCACTTCTGGCCTATTGTACCAGCCCCAGATGATAGGTGAGGGTGATTGTGGAGCAATTGGTGGAATGAAGATTGGCAGGGGAAACCGAAGTACTCGGAGAAAACTTGCCCCAGCGTTACTTTGTCCACTACAAAGCCCACTTGACCAGACACGGGATCGAACCCGGGCCTCCGCGGTGGGAAGCCAGCGACTAACCACTTGAGCTACGGCGCGGCCCCTTGCGCGAGTTACTCGCTGACACTGAGGAAGGAGAGTGCGCTCTTCAGACGTATGCGTAAACTTGCGTCACACTACAATACGTCACTCTTAAGAGCAGCAATACGAGGCTGGATCGAACTGTATAATGGAAGGCCTCACAATTTGTATAATTCACAAAATAAGCCTGCTTTTAGTGCGATGAAACCAAAGCGAGTTATATCGACTGTGCATAGAGAACGTATGAGAGAAATGCACATAAACTTTTAGCCGGAAAACCTGACTTGAAGAGAAGACTTGGAAATCTTGGGAATGGATGGGAGGATAGTGTTGAAATGCTTCATAAAGGAATAGGATATGAAGATTTTTTTTTTTTTACCCAGCCGAATATATGGTGCAGTGGCGGGTTCAGGTGGATGCGGTAATACAATTTTCTGGTTCCATACTCCTTCAAAGAAATATGGACGGAATATCTGAGCATGTGAAATTTGGTGATAAGGCAGGCCAACCCAATAGTATTTCGGTGTAAGGTTAAGTAACGTAAGATTAGACTATCCCTGTAACAGGCTGTGGAGGCGTATAGGGTTGTGAGACGTCGAGGCTCCTAAATTTTATAGAGAGTCCGCTCACAGATGGCAGTAAGGTTGTCAGCCTTTCGCGCTGGCCCACTTTTACCCGCAGGAAGATTCCTGATACTTATTTCTGTTACAGTTTAGCCTCAAATTCCTTGCATACTCTGCGGAAATAGCCGATATTTTTATATCATCTCCAGTACCGAGTACAAATATTTTTTCTGAACCGATAGTCTTATGAACTCATGAGTGGGAAGCTGTACGGTAAGAGATAAAGTTGTCATTGTGCTTAATTAACATGAAAGCCACGAAGATGGTATGGCTCAATTCTTAGTGTCGGTTCTAGACCATTTCCTCCCGGTAACGCTGGGTTAGTCCCAGAGCCGGTCAGGACGCCGTGGACAAGAGATAATCTCTTGCCCCTCCTGGGAATCGAACCCAGTTCTTTCACTCGTGCAGGTCGTAGTCTGAGCACTGTACTGAGCTGTCCCAGTTGCTACGCATGGGAAATGATGCTTTACTTTTTTCTGAACTGGTATTGCTCTCTGCACATGTTTCTTAGGGTCATCATTTAACTAAATGATAAAGTGAGAAAAATGATACTTCTGTGGAAGGAATTCTCCAACAAATTCATGCTTTCTATAGCTTGTAATATTCGAATTGTCTCCGAACTAAAACACTTTTATTGAAGTATTTTAATTTATCTAAAAAAATTGTAATATGAAGCTCATAATACATATCTGGATACTATAAACCTTTCTCTGATATTACAGACAGCCGATAGAACACGTATAACAAAAAAGTCCGTCATTGGATCCAACCTAAGCCAGTTAGTTTCAATCAACTATACCTGCATTTCTCTAATTTCATTTCTTAAAACCTAGCTAGACTCTAATTTATTGTTTTTTAGATTAATCTAACAGTACTAAAATTTTCCTCGGTTTAAGGTCGTTTCTTTTTTTCAGTTCCCTTTACTTTCAATTGTCTTGTGTATTACGTTTTAAAATATTTGTACCGTTCTAAACTTACCAACTGACGATACTTTGGACATGGACTGAGCAGTTAGAAGTATTTTCTTAATTTAGTATTTTTTATTATATGGAGAAGCTAATTATTTTCTTGTTATCTTTTTTTTTTTTACAAGTACGATATTTCAAGCATTTCATGCTATCAGATTACGTAATCTATGCTGTAAATAGAAACAAGATGCATCGGAATGCAGTTCTGGCGCGTTCGGCCTCAAAATAGGATATTAGGCGATCGATGCATATGCATTAATACTAATTTATGCATAATTTACATTGAAATAATGAAAAAATTGTTCGTATGAATGTACAGCTCATGGTGTTGCATATCACTCTGATAGTACTTATTTAATTTTGGTACACACACAGCATAATTCTCAGAAATAAATATTTTGAACAATATGACGTTTCTATTAAGAGTTATTAATTTACAAATGTGACTATGTTTCAGAGACGAAAGTCAGGCAGGAGTGGGGAAGAGCGGCAGTTTGTCTTGCTGCTTGTTGTACCTGCGCGGAAGCATGCCTGTAGCTGCTCATGTTTTCTGCGCTTCCCTACTCGTGCTGCCATCTTGCAGCGCTCCATGCAAGTGCAAAGAGAATGTCAATATGACGGCTGGTGTTGGAAATGTTACAGTGCCGCTCGCGGTGTAATGCGTTATTATCGTGCTTCAAAGACAGCGTGGTGTGGTCACGGTGTTGCTGTGTCAATGAAGAAACTCCTGTTGTTGCTATGCGGATGTAAACATGTCAAGCAACATCGTCGAGGAATGGTTAAGATCCTTACATTTGGGCCAGTATGCAGAGTCATTCATTGACAATGGTTATGACGATTTGGAAATATGTAAGCAGGTAGGGGACCCTGACTTGGATGCTATCGGTGTGTTTAACCCCTCACATCGCAGTAGGCTACTTCAGTCGATTCGTACGTTGAGAGAAGAAGGTGCAGCTTCTGTGTATTCTACTTTAGAAGAAACTGCAGCTGTCCATGAAGACTGTCAGTGCGACACTTCAAGCGCTCGCTCGTCTAGAACCTTGTCCGCACACCAAGGCTTTACAGACAAGGAGCAGCAGCAGCAGCAGCAAAGTGGTCAACGTTGTGGAACGGGCGGTAGCCCTGCTTCTTCTTCTGCTGATAGTGCACAGGAACTCGGCAAGTACCTTGATGAATATGAAGAGGGGAAAGCAGAACTTGTCAAGATACCGCGCCTTCAGTTGAAACTGTTGCTGAAAGATAAACTTAGTCAGGATGGTATTCGACTCAGCTGCCAGCCCTATTCGACCTCGGTGAGTACTTGTAATTATTAATTAATTATTCATTATGATCTAGTACATACGTGGTTCTGCTTCAAGTACTGCTTACGGGTTTATTGGCGTTGTTAGTATCTAATACATGTATTCAAATATGCCCTAACCTCACTTTATTTAACCGCAACTGATATATACCAATTGTTGTGGCTAAGTAAATTGAAACCACAATAAAGGCACTCCCTTTATGCTAAAATCGATGAATTCATACACCGATGGTATGGTAAACAGCGCAGTTGTGAATATTGTTCTTTTCCATAATTTAAATAAATATATTCAAACATAAATAAAATTAGGTAAAAATTTTAATAATATGTACATGTTATTCCACATACTTTTTTGTGATGTGATATGTACATAATTAACTAGCATACACTTTACACCGTCAGTATTACATTAGTAGATAAAAAATAATATTTTTATGGTTACAGATATGATAAAAATTAAGCCAGGATTGAGACATGTAATAGATTATAATATAATCTTCCCCTCAACTTTTTACCCTTAGCGTAGTTTGAATGTGTTTATGTGTGTTTTTGTCTGTTGTCTTAATGTAGTACCACTGCCACTTCGTGAAAACTCATTTGCAGTTTAATAATAATAATAATAATAATAATAATAATAACCATTTTATTCATTATTAATCATATTATCATCAACAGACATTGTGGCAGACGCAAACCATTTTTTTAAGATGGAGAAATGCAGTGTTTGGTAAATGTGCATGAATTCCATCCCATTCTGTTTAGCCCTCAGAAAACTAGGCAGCTTAGTTTCTGTGACTGTTCTGAATGAATGAATGAAATTTAGAATAGGCAACATACAAACCATCTAATTCCATGTCATCAAGGTCATCTTGGAGCAGTGATAAGTATTCAGCTTTTATGAACACAAAGATTCATCACCATGTTTACCACAGCATGCCACAGAGACTGTACATATCACATTTTCACTGTATACAGAGTGGCCCAAAAGTTAGTGAAATATACACTAAAAAACATTAGAAATTTATTTTTTTATTATTTACTGAATTTACAAAAACTGTTCTAAATAAGATTGTCCAACTCACGAGGCTGTGATACCTTTCTACAAACAGAGTGGCAGGGTTTAATCTGAACATTCTCCTTACTACTAGAGAATGCTTTAGGTTAACGGACTTTTGGGCCACCGTGTAACTTATTCAAGTATTATTGTCAGTTCCAACATGGCTCTTCCTTTGAAATCTCGGTGTGGTCTGTATGAAATGTTGCTCCTCTTTTCTGGTATTAATTTCACGCTGTATGACCCTTATCTGTTCCATTAATTCTGATACATTTTGAATTAAATATTACAGACTAAATATTTAAATGCACTTTTAAATTTGTGTGTATAACAAGAAACTAAATTGCATATACATTCAGTTCTNCTTGAGATGGAGGCGATACGTTCCTCCGAAACGTCGGTTAACACCACTTATACACGGTGCCAAATCCCAAAAGACTGCTTTCTTCATAGTCACCGCCGTGAAAGCCTCAAATCTTACAAACCCATGATCGTTTTATGATAGCTGAAATTTTAAATGAAGTGAATACAAGAAAGATTTAATAACGTACCTACACGTGCAACTGGTCACAGATCGATGCATTTTAATTTACAGCTTGTTACGAAAAAAGTTAACATCTTAATAACAGTGTGTTGTTTTTTAAGATTATCTGTGTCTGCTAGTAAGTATCGATTCTGAATGTTAAATTCAGTCGGACAACCCGTCACATTCATAATAATTACGAGGTGTTGTTCGGTGATACGAAGCCAGAGATCCCAATTATGTTGATGTTAAGTGTTGTATTGTGTTGTCATTGGAAATACACATCACAGAAGGATAATTGTTGCCTGCATAGTAACAGCATACATGAATTATTTAGAGCCCTCTTTTCAAGGCAGTAACATCTGAATCTTCTTTTGATATGACTAGACGTTCATATAAAATGGGAGGTTGTACTGTGCAGTGTAGAGATTGCAGTTTAGTTACTCGATTCATTTACTGAAGACTTAAAGGTAGCAGATGTAATTCATCTCTCTAGTCGGAGTACATTCGCTGCACTCGAGCATAACTCTCTGAATATTTATCGGAAAGAAAAGCGTTTTAGAGAAAAACAGAACGTATGTTTTGTATGCAGTACACCTTTTAGTGCTCTCTTAAGGTCTACGATTTTAGAGATAATTAAACGTTAATGTAATCCCATGCGTACGTTTTCGAACTTGTGTATTCAGCTATCAACAATGGCCTCCGGAACACAGTCGCAGTGGGTGGGGGGGAGAAGTCCCTCTCTCCCCCTCCCCCCTTTCCTTCCTTCAAGTTTAGACTGTTGAAATCAGTTCTGCTGTACCAATTTCTGTTTAATTTTCTTTCACTGTCTGTAACAGTAATGAATAGTGAGGCTTCAGTACTGCGCGTTTCTTTAGTCAGTAAAGGTGTTAAATTTTGCGTTTTTATTTATTTGAATCAGAATTGAACAAGTACGTAATAGTTTTTGTTAATTAAATGTTGCCTTATTATAAAAGCGTTTATAATTCTTTCTGCCGAACTAACGTTTTAAAATGTGCACCGTACTTTTAGAATCTTGCCAAGAATCTCATGCACTACTTTTTTTTTAAGTAATTTTCTCGGAATGTTTTTGCGATTTTCGTTGTTTCAGCACTGGGAGCCTGTTTTATTTCTGGAGTTAGTTGTTAGGCACGGTATATAATACTGTGATCTTATAATAACGTACGTTTATTTTAATAGGGTTTGTTTTCATGCTATACTGTTATATGAATCAACGCAAAGCACTGTCAGAGGATGTCGTTTTTATTGAATTTGCCTTGATCACATGTTTCGAATTTCCCGACGTGTTACCGTTCTCTGGATCAGGATAAGGGGTAGGTGGCTGGCTGTCGTGAGCGAGGTAAAGAATCTTCTAATTCCATAAAAGGCTGGGAGCTTCTAGACCAGACGAGTGACTGTTTGATTTTCAAGAAGGATTCTAATCCGTGGATTGGTAATATTTATGTGGTTGTACATTGTCTTTCGAGTTTCACTGAAATAATTTTTGTATAGAGAATAATATTTCCATCATTCAAATTACATAAGGAACTTACTGAACTTGGACATTGATTATTAGAAACACAAATTTATCGTGGCGAGAGGCTGTATGGTCTACAGCTACTTTAAACGACGTAAAGGACCAGGAGAACATTTTCATTTTTTCAACGTACTGCGTCATATTTGGAACCGGGATAGCCCAGTTGGTATAGCGACTGGCTACGGGCTGGAGGCCAAGGAGGTGGAATTCGTGTCCCGATGGGGGCAAGTTTTTTCTTCTCTCCACGCCGTTCAGACCGGTTCTAGGGCCCACCCAGCCTCCTATCCGATGGATGCTGGGTGCTTTTCCCCGGGGGTGAAGCGGCCTGTGCGTGAAGCTGACCACTCTCCTCCAACCTGTGCCTAGGTCAAGAAATAGCCTCGATTTCCATATTTTCTGTTCTGTTTCTTTGTTAAGAACGTTCCCAGTTATATCATACCTGCATCCTTTTTCTATCTGTTCTACTGTAACTCTTCACACTCCTAAAAATTGCCACCAAAGTTGCCTATATTTTCGTCTATTCCTTAGTCTCCATAGTCCAGGATTCATGTCAGTATAATAATAATAATAATGTTCAACATTGTTTCTGTTCATGTCAGCTTTCCTGGTGTTCGTGAAAGAGTTCCGCTTGTGTTTTGAAGCCTGTTTACTTTGCTCAGAAATACAGAAGGAAAGGGACCACTAGGAAGACCTGGACATAGATGGAAGGATAATATTAGAATGGATCTTAGAGAGATATGATAGCGTGGTATGGAGTGGATTAATCTGGCTCAGGATAGGGATCAGTGGAGGGCTCTTGTAAAGACGGTAATGAACCTTCGGGTTTCGTAAAATGTCGGGAAATTCTTGAGTTCCTGAGCAACTGATGGCTTCTCAAGAAGGACTCAGCTGCGTGCGGTTAGTTAACACACATCTAGTGCCACCAATTTTATGCAGTTAATGTCATATTTAGATAATGTAGATTTATAACCTATCAGTAAAAAAAAATTTTAGCTCGTGAGCTAGCATGCTGTCCTCATGCAGAGATTGTCATAGAATCTAATCCTTTTCCAGTTAAATTAGTATTTCTTGCTTTTATAACTACATTACATATTATTATTATTATTATTATTATTATTATTATTATTATTATTATTATTATTCATACTTTCGCAAACTTGTAACAATTACTAAAAAGTTAGATGGGCAACGTTGGTTAAAGTCAGTTGACGACGGGCTCAAAATTCAGTCTACTCATTTTTGGAAATATGTTTCTGACTTTCAGAGGAAAGAATTTAGTTTTTATTTAATTGGAAGTCGACTACCGTATTGTTTACTGACCAATCGCCGGCTTCACACCTTGGCGAACTGGGTTCGAGCCCAGTTCAGATCATTGAGATTTGTGGTGGACACACTGGCACTGGGGCAGGTTTTTCTCTGGCTACTTCGGTTTCCCCTGCCAATTCTCATTCCATGGACTGCTCAACATTCATCATCTGTTATCCGGGGCTGATACAATAGGCCAATTAGTGGCCGACGTACCAAGTGGACTCAGTCTCACCCGACCCAAAGAAACTAAAAAACTATTCCCTTTACTCTTAAAACTAGCTACCACATATATTACAAGTTATATAACAAACTAGTATGCCGCTGCCCGTTGTGTTGAAGATTGTGGAATATTGTTAGGCTGCATGCTTTACCTGCCGATCGCACTGGCCGCGCGTTCTAAGGCATGAACAGTCTTCTCCCCCTCGAACACTGGGGTCGTGGGTTGGAATCCATTCGAGGCACGAATGTCTGTGTTTATGTTGTTCTGTCTGTAAAAATGGTCAAGAAATTGAGAAATCAGCCCTATGCTCCAAAGTGGGAGTGAGAGGAGGAAATGAAATTATATGTTTT